GCAACAACATGATGCATTAGACATTGCCCGTGATGACTCAGTGGCCGCTCAAGCACGCCAGGCGCTGTACGCAGACCGTGGAAGGGTTCCCAGCCAGTTCAAGGTTGGTGATATGGTGCTTGTTTATAAGGACTTCTTGCTAACGCCAGAGGCCCGTCTTCAACCGTCCCGGAAGCTGCGGCCAAGGTGGTTTGGGCCCTACCGCGTGCAGGCAAAGATTAGCTCAAACGCATATCGTTTGGAGCTTCCTCGCACGATTCGTTGCCATCCCGTCTTCAACATTACCGCCTTGCGGCGGTATGAGGAAAACGCTATTCCTGGCAGAGAGCAACCTCCACCACCATCATTCACTGACCTCGATGGAAACACACGGTTCATGGTCGAAGAAATTCTGGATCACCGAGAACGTAGGGGACAGCGAGAGTACCTGGTCCATTGGCAGGGCTATCCTGTCGACGAAGCTACATGGGAACCCGCAACTAATTTGCGCAGTCTGGCAGAGACATTGTGTTTTTAAGGTGGCTCCTACCCCTCGGGTCCAAATGCGCAACTTACTAGCCTGTTTGACCTTTTTTGGGTGCAGTCCTGTCACTCGAGTTGAACTCGAGTTGAACCTTGGTGTGAAAGTTGTCACCTGCTGGCGTGGTGACCAGGTGATTTGGGCACCCAGGACCACGTGACCGCTTCTTCAACCATGTTCGATTGGGAATAAAGGAGGAACGCTGCATCGCAGCCTTTTCGGACCAAAACCAGTCGACTCAGCGTCCAAAAGACTACAACATATGGGCCAATCGCGGTCATCCGTGCTTTTATAAGAACGAAAAAAAAGAACGAAATGGCGCTTTTAGTGACATTTTGCATACAAATCCCCATCTAGTAGGGCGCAGTCACCCAGTTTCGGTGGAAGTGCGCGAGTTCGATTGGGATTTAAGTAGGAAGGGAGCGTCTCAGCTTCCTCGGACCAAGACCATTCGACTCAGCACCCCGAAGACTACAACTGGTGAAATTTTAATTTTTGCCTTAACTTCCCCTTTAAGATGTTGTTTAAATTCAAGGAATCTTCACTGATATTGCAGCTGAGTTAACTTCTGGAATTCCATTGCACTGCATTCTGTGTAATTTTCCTCGCGATTTGACTGTTGGGTTCTCGACTTATTCCGCTTATCCACATGCAGATTTACCTACTTGAGTTGCTCGTAGAACCCTATGCTTCCTTTAGGGGAGTGGGATGGTGTAACAGTGTTACCTGCTGTTCACACTCCTATCCCCTCTATCCACGGCCCTTCGGCCTATCACCTACCATCCCGCCTATCTAGTTGACAACTTTACATCATACCCTGTGCAGTACGAATAAAGTTCATTCTTTTCCTCAACCCGCAGTAGCCGGTTACACGAGCCACTTGTCACTCTACGTGCCGTTCCTCCTAGAGGAGGAAGTGAAGCAGCTGAAGGAAGAACTGACAGAGGCCCGGTTTTGTTCCGTAGTATTTGATGGAAGCACTCACCTTGGGGAGGCATTGGTAATAGTGATAAGATATGTGGATTCAAGCTGGTCGCTCCAGCAGCGCCTCATCCGTCTTCACGTCCTGGCAAAGAGCCTCAACGGCTCCCAATTGGCAAGGGAACTCATCACCTGCCTGTCAATGCAATATCAAATTGCCCCCGACATGCTAATAGCCGCAATGCGAGATGGTGCCGCTGTTAACGGAGCTGCCTTGACAAAAGTAAAGGATGTCATGTACCCTGACCTATTGTATGTGTTTGTACCTAGCGTACATGTTTACCTGATATTGTATTACAGTAAAACCTGTCAAGGCGACCACTTGGATAAGGCGACCACCTGTCCTAGACGACCACTGCAACCAGGACCAAGGGGTGCTATTTCCAGTCAAGTGACCCTGGATAAGGCGACCACCTGGTAACAGAGACCACATTTTGAAGGTCCCTTGAGCGGTGGTCGTCTTAGACAGGTTTCACTGTATGTGTTCATCATAGCTGCATGGGTGCAATATTATCGTTTTTCTTAGCCCAATACCGCAAGGTTCAGGTGTTTATATTCCATCCGGCGGAGCATTATCAGCATTATTTGGAGCATTATATGGCCTTTTGTGGAGCATTACTGAGAGCATTTGATCCCATATTACCGAGCATTATCCGCCAACACCTACTAACTACTGTACTAGTGACTTGGACTCACGTCACGTACATGTAGATCTACATGTACGTGACTTTTGTACAATGTAGTAATACAGCCTCTTCTAACGGGCAAAATCAGCACAATGAATATTTTTCCCAAGTGTGCCAAAAAACGTCAACTCAAAGTTCTAGAAAGAAAAAAGGCAAAACACGCAAAAACGCAAAACCAAAACCACAACAGCATAATAATGTACTAGTATATACATGTACATGTACAGTGTACCTACTTACATGTACATGTAGGTAAACGGCAGCAAGTTCAACTTCATCGTGAGAATAAAGAATTCAACTGTTACTTCAACAAAACAAAGTTCAAGTCAATAATCCAGTCACTGATCCCGCTCGTGCACGCTAACCCGGTACCCGGGCGTCTACCACTGCCAGCGCAGCAGAGGTATCACCCACAGCCAAGGCAGACTGGCTAGAGAGCCTTCTGCACCCTTGGAGGCACATGATGCAGGACCGCAAGAGGGAGAAAGCGATCCTGCACCTGATGAAAGCCATCACATGAGAGTTCTGCTCCCCTCTCTTGGCCGCCAACAGAGAGGCCACTCGTTTGTAGAGGGCTGTTGCTGCCTTGCCTATGCCTCCGGTCGCAGACATCACAGCAGGAACAAAAGTGGCATGCTCCACTTGTCTCACTCTCTCTTCGTAGTGCCTTCGTTTCTCTCTTTCGTGTCGATGATACACAGTGGTACGTGGTGCAGACTGATTTGAGTGAGAATAAGCCCCACACACCACTGGCAGCGACATCAAGGCGTGCAGGATCCTCCACGTTGGCCGTTCGGTATTGCAATTTCTCGCCGGTCAGTGGCTGCAGCGTAGGCTCCGTGGACACATTGCCACATACTTGGTGTAGGAGCTGTGCGGTAGTGTCGGATGGCATTGTGCCGTATGGTGGGAAACCCTCCATGAGGGCAGGATAGTGAATGAGAAACACTCACCTCTTGGCCACGTGAACAATGAGTCGGTATTCTCACCGGCGTCCATCCATAGCGGAGACACAGCCCGTCCCAGAACTCTCGTGCTTCGTGAGGCTGAAGCCGTACTTCTTCAGCGGACGACATGTTAGCTAGCTAGAAGAAGTCTGAAGAACCCTTTTCTCTAGCAATATCAATGACGTTACGTAGACTCGCAGATGCATTCTGGACCACGTCCTCCATTCCCGCTGCCTGTGCTTGACGGGACTCTGCCATGACTTCCGCCTTCCTCTTGCGTATCTTAGTTACACAATCGTCAAGTGCAGTGTCACCAGACAATCTTGCTGGTGAAGGGCTCGGTAATGCGAACTGACGCCCACACAAGGACATAGGCCTCGTGATACCCAAGCCGCCCAAACGGCACGGGAGAGCGAATACGCGCCTACATGTAGTACAGCAAAATTGAAGGATAAAAAATGTGAATGGCAACAGCAATGTTTATGTAAACGGGGAAAGAACGGAAAAAGAAAAAAATCCAAACCAAAAGTCCTTGAGCACCGCCAGAAAGGAAACAATAGATTCATGCAAAAGAAGAACTTCAGGAAACCGGAAAACAAACTTTTGATAACATTTTCACCATACAACGAGATGATAAAAAAGCTATGCCCTGGACAGCACACGGCAGTCCTTTACAAAGCTTGCCGAGCGCTTAGAGCGATACGAGGACCTAGAACCTCGTAAACAGGTGATACACCAGCGAAGTAAGCAGAATGATAAACGGCATCGCAAATGATGGACAACAACAGAATACACCAAATCAGCATTCTCCTCCAAACATGTACTGCTACTACACATACATGTACATGACTTGTACACATGATTGTAGATCTCCACTGTACACCATGCACAAAGACGTGTAAGTGATGATGGTGGTGAGAGAAGCCCGGGCATCCTTTCCCAGAACTGTGTCGTGTTGTGTGTTGTCACAATGGACAGGCCGGTGTACATGTATGTTCCGCCATTTCTCATCGTGTGTTTGTAGTACAGTACATGATTGTAGTAACTTTTTACCACAATTTCTCTGCCTGGTACCGTGCCGTGTACACTGTACCAGAAACTCGTAGATCTACGCGGCACAGCCACGTGCATGTACAACTGTACATACGGGCACCCAGACAAGGATATGGCTGTACAGTATGGTATACAGTCATGTACTGTCTGTGTACATCTGGACACTCCGGACCAAGGCAAGGGCGATTTACATCATGTTACGCTGCCTTTTCACTACATGTACAGTCCGTATCGCCTATAAGGTTGGCGGCTATAGTAATATACCGGATATAGTGATCAATTTCTCAAATTCATTTTCATTTGCCATAACTAAGTATACACAGTTATCGCGTATAGTAATAATCGTCTATAGTAATATATCGCCTATAGTGATCAAATTCTTATTTCAAAAGACCTTTATTACATTATTTTTGCATCGATTATAGTGATTGATGTAAAATCAAGTGGTGTCAGAGGAGAACAGGGTGTTACTTCTTCGTGAAGAACTAGCTTGTCCAGTGTTGTTTGGTGAGTTCTGCTTGCACAAGTTGCCAAAATATGCCTCCATCGTGAGGAAATGCTGTTGTGTGACATGAGCTGCAGCCAGCTATGCAGTGCGTATGTGCATGGTGCCCTGAGTCGTTTGACACCCCACTCGCATACATTGCATGCAGTATCGGTCATAGTAATATATCGCTTATAGTGATAAAATGCTCATAATCAAACACCAACGCTATAGGCGATACGGACTGTACTTCTGTCTGATTCAGTTCATCATTCATACATGTACATGTATATGCATGCAGCTTGTTCATGCAGCTTGTTCGACAGGACTGGAGAATTGACAGCAATAATGTGTCCACCGGCTGAATTGAAAAGCAGTCTTCTGCTCGTGAAAATTGAAATATACGGCATTGAATGATGGTGTTTTTCTGACTCGGAATAATAATTATTGTATGGCCCTAAGCGGCTAAAAAATAACAAAGATATGATAGACTCTAGGAGGTTCACCTTCAGCACTGCATGCATGAATACAACTTGGCATACATGTGCATGGTATCAATTCCAGAGGATAAAATCAATAATTTACAGCACGGTAGATACGCAGGTCTCCACGATTCTCAGGCATTGGGAGGGAAACTATAAAATAGCTGATCTCTAGTTGAACTTCCTTCAATTTTTAAATATCTTGGTCTCAAGCTTAGCAATAACTTAGATTGAGCAGGTTTGTTCAACGATTATTCTAGGGATATTTCTAGGGATAAATTAGAGGATTTGTAACTGACCTAAAATCTGTTGCTGTAATCAAGATTCAACTCATTGTACTATAGCCGACCGTCATCCGGCGATTGGTCAAAGCCATACTCAAATAAATACCAGTACACACCATTCTGCTGTGATGAAGAGCATCCTGGTTAAAATGCCACCAGCAGCGGCAGCAGGACATTGTCACCGCTGTTGCCATAGCATTGTCACCACTGTTGCCATAGCATTGTCACCACTGTTGCCATAGCATTGTCACCGCTGTTGCCATAGCATTGTCACCACTGTTGCCATAGCAGTAACTACATGTAGCAGTGACGGTTGCCAGCACCACGAGTAACCATGGCACCAGTAGTATGAGTAGTCGTGGCTCACTGGCGATAATCAGTGACAGTGACCTCCAAGAATAGAGTATCATTCTTGACATACTGAGTGCTGCCTGCATGCATTAGCTTATCTAGGCTGATGAGCTTGGGAACTCCGCTAGCTACGTTCATTGTAGAAGTAGGTCGTTGGAATGAGGACCCAGATCCTGTAGTGAGGAAAGTTTCCGAGCAATGCTCTTGTCGCGTGCTGTTTTGATCACAGACACGGAACCGAATCTTCTTGTTCATTGGCCAAGGGAGTACTGCGTCGTAATCGCTCTCCATGACAACCAGGAAGAGTGAGAGGTGAGTTCCCTTGCCGGCTCCATCACCGTTTGGGTACATACGTAGGCACATCTTGTATCCTTGTGGATTGGTGAAGAAATAGGGCGAGTAGAGAGAGGAACTGTTTCCACTCTGACTGGTCTCGTACAGGTGCTGTGAGAAGTTGTTGATCTTCCAGAGCAATCTGCCGTTGGTCGTGCACTGCTCCACCATGTCTACACGCATGCCCATGTCACTCATCTCAGTCTCCAACGTCGAGATGCTCCTGTAGGATGCAAACAACAGAAAAAGGCAAATACTGTTTAGCACCCAGTCCTACGTGCTGGCTGTTATGCATGTTGTGAATAACTAACAATGCAGAGATCGTGTATGTGAACTATCAAGTGACTTCCAGACTCTGTAGAGTACTAATGTCATTGTCTGTTACATAATTGACTCTACCTACACAAAGGAGAGAGAGAGAGGGAAAGATATCCAATATTGGTTTCTCGGCTGTGACTCTAGTGTTACATGTATGCCCGAGTAATCTTCACACAACTACTATCACTACACCCTGATTGAGTGTAAAACCCAGTCAGTATTGAAGACCGTCACAATGTACAGCTCAAGGGATGCACATGTGCTTGCTGTGTGCACTGGCTTACCTCAAAACACTGCTCCCAGTGCTCCAGACGCTAGACGTAGAAGACGTCAGAGATGCATCACAGTCCCCTGCCGATATACCGCTGTCTTGCGATAAGCTAGACAGTCGGTTCTCGGCTGTCCTGGCGGCCATGGTGTTGGAGGACTCCCGTGTTGTGGTGCATGAAAGTCGCGCTGGTAGAGACTGCACACTGCTTGCACTGTACCAACTAGGTATCATGCCGCCATCTTGTTCCATGCTGCCACTGCTGCTGCTGCTGCTGCTGTAATGGCGTTGTGTGGCAATGGAATGGTGCTGGCTGAGACGCATCTCGGCTTGCTCCTGAGCTAGCTGGTAATGCTGTACTTTCAAGCTGTCAACGTCATCCATGCAGGACTTCTGTTGAGTGAGAAGTTGTTGCTTCAGGGCGGTATTCTCTTCCTTCAGCTGATGCACAACTGATGTCAGCTGTTGGCTTCTCTCTTGTTGATATGCTAAATCTTTCTTCAGTTTTGTGATAGCATCTCCATGATTGTTGAATTGTTGAAACATGTGCTGTCTTAGTGCAGAAACCAGCTCGCGCATATCCTGCATTTGTGACTGCAGGTCATCTGCCTGATCAACTGCGCTGCTGTCAAAGCTGCCAGTCCTGGGACGTGGTTGCTGCTGCTGATGGGTTGATGATGAGTGTTGTTGTTGCTGCTGCTGCTGAGTTGCTGAGTGTTGCTGTTGTTGGTATGAAGCTGGTCTGTAGCTGTGAGCTGGTAGTGAGTGATGGCTGTAGTCTTGCCTGCTGAGTGCTGTTGATGATAATGATGACGTGGACCGGGACTGTGGATAGGTGTGACTACGTGCAGCGCGTGCGACTTGCGGGCCACAGCCACAGGAGTCTGACTTCACGTGGTCCTGCACAGTGGACGAGTACATGAGAAGAGATTCATCAGCACCAGCATACGTATGCATGTACATGTACATGTGCACCAGTGGCTACAGTACAGACACACATACACACATACACATACACACATACACATACATGATTGTATAGTAGTAACGCATACTACTGTGCTGCGGGACAACACCAAAGACAAAGTAAAACAATTTGTCTTACATTATTACAACATGTGTAAATGTGTGGATATAGGGTAAAAGTATCGGACTGGTACTCCCTTCTCCTTCTCCTGCCCCCCCCCCCCCCCGCCCCGGCATATCCAGGACACATACCCAAAATGGTAAAATCAGTCGTTCACCATCACCACCGGTAGTTACTATCTTGATATCAGATACCAAAGCTCACCTGTAACTGTGCAATAGTGCCTTGCCAGGAGCATGTCCCATCCTGAGTGTGCCCCCGCATTGGACAATAGACATCCAGTATGCTGACTTCCTTGCCTGCCTGACGATCTGAATGAAGACTGGACACCGCAAACTGCTGCTGATCCTTGGGACATGTACCGAGCTGCGTCTGCCTGTGGATGGTCCATACCAAAACAAAGGATGGCATTGAACAGTGACGTTACGTTAGTTAATGCTGCCTCCTGAGTCCTGACCTGAACCTCTCGTCCAGTGAGCTCATACTGGAGTTAGCAGTGAGGAGCAGAACAGTATATGGACGCAACTGCTTGTTTCACCATTGTTGTCGACAAGATACTGTTGAACAGCCATCGATTCAATGAGCAGTGTTGCGCATGACCCGTTTGCAACACATTTTCAAGTTACCCGTATCACTGCCACCACAGTGTGGCGATTCACGGATCATTCCTCTTACCTGTTGATCAGTGCATATGCACACTCTCTGCAGAAGCGATGTCCACATGATGTCACCTGTACGGGGTCGAGTAGGAGCTTCTCACACCTAGTGCATAGGAGACTGTCCGAAACGGTAGCACTCTCGACCAGGCACGTATCCAAACGCATTGTGGTAGCTGTAGTTCTGCTGCCAGTGACCGCGGAAGTGGCGACATTCAAGCTCCTACTTTCTCTACACGTAGTTCTTGCTGTGCTGTTGCTTGTACCTTCAAGGGAAGATAAACCCACTGGATAGCTGCTTGGTCTATCACTGGCGCTCCTGGAACGAGCGCAGTCTCTTTCACTGGACATCGAGGAATATGTTAGTTGATTGTGGCGATGTTCAGACCCATCACTGCTTTCAGTCATACGTCTAGGCACCCATGGACTGGCGTGTGTATTATTAGCTGTGCACGGTCCCACTGCTCTTGCTTGCATTTCACAAGATTTTCCAAGAAGACAATCAACTGCCACATCCTGGTCGGCAACGACGTTTGGCCCCATCTCCGAATATCCAGGCGAGATGACAATTCTAGGCTAGGCAGGTAGGAGACAGGGTAGGAGACAGGGTAGGGTACTAGTATTCAGTCGATACACTACACTGCATTATCGTGACGGACACTACAAATAATACTAGGGTGGAATTAATAATTATTTACTCAACTGCTCGTCTATGTATCACTATTTTGATTATAAGTCTTCTCGTCACACCTTTTATATACTCCATTATCTCCGTATACTTAAGCGCGTGTAGCCAAACCGTTGAGCATTTATCTGTGCTGGTGTAAGGGACAAGCGAGGGTCCCTGGTTCGAGTCCTGGTGGTGACAGTCTATTTTTTCTTCAGACTGTCCCCGTTTGTCTCTTTCCCTCAAATTAGTTAGTAAGCAGCGGAGCGAAAATACCCCAAGTACCCCGCCAGCAGTTACATAACAGTGAGAATCTTCCCAGAGCGCTCTCGAGCCGTACCCATCAAACCCTGGCCTAGGCCTAGGCCCGTGAATAGTCAAAGCATAGATGACGTGACTGTCATGAGCCATGGGGCAGGTGAATTCCCCTACTTGCACAGGCAGCTGTATGAACGACATGTCGACAGCAGTGAACATGATTCATTGATGGTGAACTCATGTTCTGGTGGGCCCAGCTTAGCCAGCTGAGCTAGCTCTGCACTGCAGTGCATGCAGATAATATCTATCGGTAGACGGCTGACCTGAGAGTGAGAGTCAGTGAGACTGAGAGGCAGTGAGGGGCTAGCTGGCGTGGTCATGCCTCATGCTCATGGTACAAGGCCAGGCCCAAGGGCTGCATAGCGTGCACGCAACGGGCACTGTCACTGAGTCTGTCTATGATCCCACACTGAATCCCCGGGGCCGCGCCGCGGAAGCTCGAAGGTAGATATCTACAAAATTAATACAAAGTCATACAAAGTCATGTAACAAAATACATGAGGAACTGAGAGTAGACGTATACTATAGTCTATAGTCTAGTGGCTAGTGTCCGGAGTCACAGTGAGTAAGTGCGATAGTCTTTCCGCTTTTGAAATACTAGTACTGTAGTAGTAGTACACAATCAAACCCTGGCTTGGACAAACAAGCCTACACGGCTCCACTGCACTACAGCCATGATAGCTGCACTGTACACTGTACACTGTCTACATGACGTGTATGCACCGGTACCTACACAGTTACAATACAATAATGAATTACATGACAGTCCTTAGGCTTAAAAAGAATACTGCCAGGGGAAAATTATTCTACAAACCAAACAATAATTATTCAGGGGCATGCTTCATGTGCACTGTACATGTGTCTAGGATTATGATACACTGGTCTGCAGAGACAGGCTTCAATGTATTGACATGTACTTCACACCATCTCGGATGTGATCTGCAAACGCGAAACAATTACAAACAAACTTTACAAAGAAGGTGTTATCTGTACATGTCGAGTGTCCAATGACGTACATGTACATGTAGATTGCACCGCGCCGCGCACTGTTTGTATGTTGTTACTACAAAGGTGTTTTATTGAACGCACAAACCAATGATGATAATAATTATTGATACGAATGCAGAGAGAGGCAGGGAGAGCGAGAACAGCAAAATACTACGTTTACTATTAGTACTACTAGTACTACTACTACATGCACCGGACACAATCGCACCTGAGCAAGCAGTGTGGGTTATCCACCTACCGACAGCACCGTGCCCTATCGATCGCGGTGATATCGCGGTGATCCTATCATAGCAATGTTCGGATATCACACCTTTCAGCACAGTTTGCCGCTCCAAGCATAATCTGTATCACAATTTGTGACTACAGATTCATTGGCATGGCATCATTGTTTCATTTCGTACCTGACGATGGCAATTTTGCCGAAACGTTGTACATAAAAGGAATCGGTTCTGTTTTGCAGTGCTGTGGGAATGGGTGTGTCCACCCTACTTCTCTCTACGGATGAAGCTGCAGGGTGTCTCGAAATTACTTCTCATAATTTGTGAGTTCAGCAATAAAGGTCTTTATCAGTGACTAGTGGACTGCCCATCTGCAATCATGTACAGGTTACCTGGTACATGTACGTGTACATGCAATTGTTAGATTGACAGCATGAAACAAGGTGGAGGACACTGTGTTCGGAAACAGTGACCTTACTACAACCTTCCACGGTTGGCAGAGCCCCGGTAAAAAAATCTGTTGACAGTTGACGATCTGAGAGAAGGACGCCATGGGCAGAAGTTGGAAGAAAAACGAAAAAGAAGTCTTTATACAAGTTAAAGAAAAGAGCGAAGAAAACAAGACGACATCAGGAGTAGTCTCCTAACCCCCTAGCATAATGAGGGTCAGAACCGGGTGCGATACCCATTATTATGGTTCAAATGGTCCGCAGGGACCGGGGCTCTGCCAACCGCGGAAGGTTGTAGTAAGGTCACTGTTTCCGAACACAGTATCCTCCACCTTGTTTTATGCTGTCAATCTAACAATTGCGTGAACTATAACAAGGTTTATCTAATACTGGTTTTTAACCAGTGTTAGGTTATAATGTATGACATTGTACATGTACATGTACATGTATATGACCAGCTGTCTAAACTCTAAAGCAAGACTGTACTCTGTAGACTGTAGACTAGTGTAGTGTAGGAGGAGAACCGAGAATGGCGAGATCTTGGTGATTCCTAACACGAATACGAATCCATACTCATACAGTTTAGAGCTCAGTGCATGATGCCGTTGTCACCAGTACAGGGTAAGGATTCTAAAGAAGTACTCTTAGACTAAGTTACTACACTACTCACTAGTCATGGTAGGACTACTATTAGTATGAACATGCTCAACGAGGGACAGGTAAAACTGCACACACCAGAGGATCGAGAAGGTACAAAGTCATAACGTACAAGTACCGGTACTTGTACACGAGCTTTTCATGACACCGGCTCTAGTAGTAGTAGTAGTAGTAGTAGTAGGCTCTACCTCTGCCTTGAGTAATCCTACATCCTCACAGACCGCAGCACATGTGAACTCCAGAAATAAAACTTACTTTACACAGTTCTGTCCAGTGCATTAGAAAGGGGTTAGTCTAGTCTTTAGAAAGGGGTTGCTCCCCACACTTGAGCCCGCCGACTTGACTTGACACTTGCGCCGAAGTCGCAACCACTACATGTATTTCGTACTTTAGAGTTGAGTGAAATAGTTATGATGATTAGAGTAGCAACTCCCGTCCCATTCTCGAGTACCCATGCTATCCATAAAAATTATAATCACTCTTTAGTCTTTACTTTACTACTCCATGTACTTAGTCTAGTCTTTAGACTTAGTGCATGCATGCATGCTCACACATACATGTACTTCGAAGTACATGTAGAATGACTACAATGATTGACAGATTGTGCTTGTGAAGTTACTTAGTTGTGGTGACTTCCCTAGCACTGGCTTTGGACAGTTGGTGCGGGAATGAGGCGGGCCGGCTGGCGCCTGGTCCCTGGAGGATACTGCTAAACTAAAGTTAGCGTTATGACATCATACACTCAGTACGTCGCGTCGTTCTGTCAAAACGAACTAGTACTAGTAGTAGTACCAGGACCAGGAGTACTACTAGTAGTAGTACTAGTACCAAACCTGAGTTCTAGACTTCTGTGGACTACAGACTAGGTCATGAACATGACACGTATGCTTTGTTTCTGGACCGACAGTGCGACATGCATCTAATCGGCGATATCGGGGTTACTTATAGTCATAGTCGAGTCGGGGATGTGCACCACGCCATGCCGCGCCAGCTGGTTCCTTCCTGTTTTCCACCACTGCATTTAATTAACTCCAAACGTACGGATATGTACACAATTGTATCCGTCCCGGTATGCAGAGCTAATTTGATCGGATATCCGTGGCCACGAAAGTCCCACTCGTACCTTCGCATCCCGTTCCTCAGTACTGCACTGGACAGCAGCACTGGATGTTGAGGTCACAATGAGGTGTGCGCTTGAGCAGTTGAGGTACAGCGCAGCTGGCCATAATAGTTTGTACATACATGTAGCATGCTTGAAACATGATGAATCGTTGATCACCGTCTGTTTGCAGTGTGTGTATTATAGAGGAAATACTCCGAAATGGAATATTAATATACAACGTCATGCAAATCACCGAACATAGGCGAGATGACAGTACTAATAGATGGCATGATGTCATGATGACGGATGTACAGTGTAAATGTACAGTCATGTACAATCATGTATGAATCATAAATGGTCGACAGTCGGGGAAAATGCCAGTCAGTCGCGATCGTCGATTGAGCCCTAGCGCGGCGGCGTCAGCTTGCCACAAATATATAATAATTAGTTTGTTCTGCAATATTAGAGTCTTCGCTAGGTCAACTTGCCACCCGCTTGACTAGGCGCACAGGGACTAGTCGACTGGCGGCAACTAACCCCCACCCCCACCCCCTCTTGTGTTACTTGATCGAAATATCTGACAACACTGATTTGCCAAAGACGATCATGGAATGATGGATCCAAGTGCGGCGGATGAAAATTATCCAAACAATGAATCACAACTGTTACTAGTACATACTAGTACTTACTAGTACATGTACAACAGAAAAACTCTGTGGCTTCCTGTGCATCGCAATTCGCATATCGGGCTCAGCGCTTCGACTATGATCATGCCCATGTATGTGCTGAAGAGAAGGAACTACTCCACAGTCGCCATGATCCCTATGGTGTAAATATGGGCTGGAGCACAAGACAATGCTCATGAGCCTGGTTGCTAGCAATGACGATTCTCCGTGATCATAATATCCTACATGTACATGTAGGGGTGTGCGGATGATGCTCGAAAAGGTGGCAGATTCTGCTCGAAAAGCAGTGAAATTGGCAGACCCATACAAACCTTATGGCGGGCAATTCCTCGAATTCTGCTCCGCTTCTTTATCCACATACCAAACATGCATGAAACTTACCAGAAAAAGTACCGAATTCTGCCAATTTTCCTTCCGGCATTATCCGCATACCGTAATGTCGCGTGCATTAGCCGGGGCTTATATGCCTATAAGCCGGTGATGGAGTCAGGCTTGTACACAAGACAGGCTTATACACGAGACAGGCTTATATGACAAGCACCACTCAATGACCAGGCTTGTATGCGCAAACTGCTGACTTGCTGGTGTTGATTTCCGCATCTTCCCACGTTTTCCGCGTGTGCAAGTGTACGGTAC